TTTCAAGCTAATTTTGTTTTATTTTGATGGCACGCTTGTGTACCACGCCACGACGTTGGTCGTTAAGTGGTGTTCATTTTTCTAACTACTCCAGTGTTCCGATGAGTTGAACGGAAAAGCCAAAACGATTGCTGGTTTCTGATTGCTTCGGTTCTGGTGAGTGTGTATCTAGTGTGATTCGAACCCATGTCGTTTGTATTGGGCGTTTTTTTATTTCCCATGTTGGCTACGCCGTAATATGCAACCAGTTCCCCGTTTTATTGTGATTTTGAGTGTTTAATGATGTCTTCCTCACCCGTAACGCCATGACCCAGTTTCAACCACACGGCCATTTTGCAACACAGTTCGTGACCCTCGGCGTCACCCGACTGACTGTATGAGCGTTCTGTTCAACTGTTAAGCTAGGATTTATTACCGTTATTATCATTATATTGTCACGTGATTTGTTTTACCTTATGTGTAATGTCTTAAGTATCTTTATTGTAATTTGTATATACCAATTCGTATATACCGAGGAAACGACCCCGATTGAAGGTCATGTATTTTATGACGTCACCAATTCGTGTGTAGGTACTGCTTCTAGATCTGTGCCAAAAATACATGGCAGAAATTAATTTCCATTGAGAGTTTGCGAATATTTCTATGAACATTTCTGTTTCTTCATTGTTTTGTTGTGGAACTCAATAACAATGCAACTCGTGTTGCAATTTTATATTCGCCTAATTCGGCACATGATAAGCAAAAATTGTCATTTGGATAAAAAATCTTGTGTATACGCCCACCCCAAGTTTCTGTTCCCAATTTTACATTTTGAGACATCTGGGCCTATTTAGTTGCATAATGCATTTTGAGACATCTGGGCCTATTTAGTTGCATAATGCATTTTGAGACATCTGGGCCTATTTAGTTGCATAATGCATTTTGAGACATCTGGGCCTATTTAGTTGCATAATGCATTTTGAGACATCTGGGCCTATTTAGTTGCATAATGCATTTTGAGACATCTGGGCCTATTTAGTTGCATAATGTATTTTGAGACATCTGGGCCTATTTAGTTGCATAATGCATTTTGAGACATCTGGGCCTATTTAGTTGCATAATGCATTTTGAGACATCTGGGCCTATTTAGTTGCATAATTTTTATATTCTAAATACACACCAGAGATGTTCAATTGCAAAGACATTCTTTTTAAAACAATTTTCAATACTAATTTTCGATATTAGATGTACATTGGAGTTGGTAGCAGTACATAATACATACCTGAGGTGTTCATATTTCCAAACACCTTCATCTTGGCTATCAGGAGGATGTAATATAGAATCAACATCAGCATAATCTTTTCTGATACTCTGCTGTATAAACTGAAAGAGAACAAAGACAAAGTATACAGTCTAGCCTTTCACCCGACCTGTTATTAGCAATAATTTCATATTTACAACAGATATTCATTGCACGAGGGTCGCATAATAATCACATTTTGGAAGTTTATTTAATATAGATTTTGCATTGCATATTGATCACATTTGAGTCACACATTTATTGCCTTTCACCATCTTTCATCACAGCTATTGCATTTTTGTCATGAAAATTATTCTTCTGTTGTTGGAAAAAAAAATTCTTCCAACCGCCGGAACTTGCTGAATGTCACGTCTGCTAAGAAAGCAATGTTGACTTGTATGATGAAATACGTCATTCTTAGCCAATCAGCAAAACAGATGCATAAAGGTCAAAGATGATTGCCAGACTGACAACAAAAGCACCCTGTGCCATTTTAGCAGAATCATTTGCCGCAACCCCATTTTTCTTGTGTCTTTATTGTGATTAGACAATTCACATGAATTAAATGTGCCAAGCTGACAGACAGCAAAATCCGTGGATTAAAAGTACTAATCAGAATGGTAGTTTTCAAAAAGAAGTTGAAAAAGTAACAAGCCATGCATGGCACAGTCCCTGTTAGTTATCAAATTTGAGATATATATATTGGTAGTTTTGTTTATAATAATATAGTTTGATCATAAACATGTCAGAGGTATGGATGCAGAAGCTGATGATTGATTATGAAGATTTTTTAACAATAAAATGATTAAACATTCAATCATCTTGTATCTGATCATCAAACAAGTACAACATTTATTAAAACAAAATGTCCATCGGGCAGCCATTTTGAATCGGAACGTCAAACCCATCTGTATACCTATGACATAATGTATAATGAATATATAAAATTTGAAAATAATTTTCCCACTTGCTAGTATTTTGTGTATGTTGTTCTGTGTATCTGTTCAGTATGCACCACATCGTACCATTGGCATGGGTGAGTACCAAGCCAAAAATAAATTTTTTTTATTTTTTTTTTACTTTGACAAATCATTTTAATTTTTTGGCTTCTTGGACACATCTCCTCACACATTTCATACAATACAAAGCAATTATTGTATGTGCATTTCATACACAGCTATTATTCAGTTTGCTTTGAATCAATCAAGTGATAAAGTATGGAAATATAATACAGTGTTCTCCCAAGGCATCTACAGAGTCATAGCCTGCAAGACTTTCACACTTGACTTTTACAAGTTACAAAGCATGTAAGCATCACAGACCCTAACGCTGGACAGAGCTCTGACTAAACAGAAAACTGGAATTCAGTGTTTTTAATAAAACAAATAGAAAATAGTTGACTGTATTAAACCAAATTAATCTCAAAATATTTTATTTGTGTGCTATGCACTATCAAACACCTCTTTTTAATACCAATGTCCTATTAAATGTATCTACCGGTATTGAATGTTTAGCTCACAGACCTCATTTTAAAATAAAATCCCACAGTATTCATAACAAATTACAATTGTTTTATTTAAATTATTTACCTGTTGTACTGCCAATGTACTATCCATTTCCTCAAATGATTCTTCTGGCCAGCTATAAAATTCCTACAGCGTTTCAACAGATAAGGTATATATCAATATTTTATGCAAATTATAGCTGTACTATCCACATCGATTTCTAGACAATTGACCCTAAGACAATGGACTCCTGTACATGTACTGTAATACCAATTATTATAACGGGCATTTAATTTCACTATGAGCTTTACTGTTATTTTACATGGATTTAATTTAGCGGATTTTACTTCTCAACAAAAATAGTGATGTAATTCTAAACCAGTGAATAATTAACGTATTTACAGTAGCTTTTGTGCTGTAACATACAACACAGCCACCATTGTTAAGTTTACACGACAGAATTTTATCGAGCCGAATTATTGCTTCGTCCACCAATTAACAGGAGATTATACAGTAGGGGCTGAATGAGATCCGAGTGCAGCTCAGTTTATCTAGGCGACAACACCTCTTTGATATTGATGTCCACCGATGACCTTTTCATGTCGTAGGTTTTCTGACCTGACAGGACCGACATTTCTTGAGAAACAGGTATGCTTGGAGAAGACACGTACTGTAAGAATGCTGCAAATGATTTGTGTGATTCGCCACCCACGTACGACACTTATCGAGGAGCTGCAATTCATTCATCTACAGTTTCCACACAAAAATTACAAATTATATCAAATCAATGCCTTGATTTGAGTGAAATGTAATTTAGGGAAGGCTGCATGATTTTGAACCTGATGCATTTACATGGTCAAGGCCATGTCAGACCCAGATTTATCAAAGCTCAACATGATCATCACGATTTTTTGTCGGCTCCAATAAAATGCTGTTGTGTAAACAAGGTAATTGTGCAGTGCTGGCAGGCTGTAAAATCGTTCACAAAATATTAATTAAATGCGTATCTGTCTCAATTCATGTGAGACGGTTTTCAAAATTGAATTCTTGACTGGAATAACACTTACAATAGTAAAGTAGGTCACGTTCATTTCAAAATCATTGAAAGCAATCAGCAGTCAATTGTCATAAGAAATGACGAGTAACACAACGTCAAAAGAAATGACTCAGTTTTCTTCTATATTATGCAAATCGTAAAAATTTTTTGTTTATTGGAGATCGTTCTTAATACTCGGACTGTCAACAAAAGGCTACAAAACACACTTCTACTCAAATGGTAACAATGTAATCATCCTATAAAGAACAGGGCGTGTACATATGTGTGATATACTCACGTCCGCCTTAGTGCCGGGCTTATTTCGACGAATAATTGCAGGAGGACCAGATTCAACTACTGCCATTTTTTCGCTTTCCGATTTAGGTTCAGAGGTCATTGCTACTGCGCCCTCTATCATGCAGAATTCGCAAAGAAGTATGGGTAATGGAATATTCTCGAATAGACGCGAGAACTCGCAAAAGACGAGAAGAAAACAAATACTATTACTTCCGGGTTCTGACGAATTTGCCAGAAAATGTTAATAACTGGTATCGGCCGTTCAAGAAAGTTCGCTATGGCTATAAATACGGGCGCAAATCACAACGACAGTCAGACATCATACTCTAAACGAGCAGATAAGCAACTACGAGCGAACAGCGAGAGATATACAACAAGTCTACCTAATCATCGAAGAAAATATTTCTACCGGCTAACTACACCAACATTACGAA